CGGTGACTCACTTGGACATCGAGACGCTGGGGGGTGGCGGGGGGTGGTCTGGGGTCCCCGCTGGCCTGGTGGTGGATGTGGCGGTGCCACCCCTAGGCGGTCGCCAGCCAGCCTGCTGCTCCTCACAGTCTTGAAGGTTACATTTATTTTCAGCGAGGACTCGAGGGTATCCTTGAACTGCTCCCTTTGTCGTCCCCTCGTCCGATGCCCATTGGAGAGCTGCGGGGAAAATGGATCTGGCGGGGATGGCGGTTCTCAGGCACGCGGACGCAGTGGCCGGTCCGTCGGAGTCTTTTTTTTTTTAAAGAAGCATCGCTTCAGCGCGTGGTGGTGTCCGCTTGGAGGTGGACATTCGCATCGATGCAGCGATCTTCCCACTCCACCCACGTGGTTTTTGGGGCAGAGGTCGTGCCGCACACAGCGCTCGAGCGCAGTGACGCGGCGCCGGTTGGCTGCCCACGCTGTGGCCGCAGGCGAGGAGCGTTGGGATGTCAACGGCGCACCGGCGAACTAGGAGCTTTGTTGTCCCACGGAGGTCGCCGTTGTCGATGGTGGCTCCGGCGCGGTTCGTTGAAGGCGGCGCCGGCGCACCGGCGGGCTCTGTGTTGTTTGGGTCTCCTCGTCGACGGTGGCCGTTTGGGAGAGATTGCTACCGAGGTAAGGGAAATGCTCCACGTGTTCAAGGGTCTCTCCGTCGACATAGATAGTTGTGGTGGTGGGGGGGGGGGGGGTGTTCGGCTGGCTGGATGGCGGTTGGTTGGAGGACCTCGGTTTTGGTGATGTTCAGGGTTAAGCCAAGTCTCCTGTACGCAGAGTCGAGTGCTTCGAGGGTCGTCTGGATGTCCCGCGACAGAGTGAGCCACACCACGCAGCAGTCATCCGCAAACTGCACGTCGTGGATTTCCCTTGCGGTCAGATTCTTCTTCTTCGTCTTTGCCCGAAAACGTCCGAGGTTGAAGAGCTTCCCGTCCACACGGTTACCGGATGTTGAGCGCCAGATGGCAGGTGACCATGGACGAGGGGGAGGATGACCGTGCCCGTATAGATAGTGAATACGGCGGGGGCGATCATACAACCCTGCCTTGACACCCGTTCGCATCTGAAAGGCGTCCGATTAAGATCCCCGCCACTCGGCAGGGTGGCGGGCATGTGGTTGTGCCGGAGCCGCAGGATGGTGACGAGCTTCTACGGACATCCGTGACGTTGGAGGACACTCCGAAGGGCTTCCCGGTTGAGGGGAGTCAGGTGCCTCGGTTAGGTCGATGAACGTCAAGAGCGGTTCTTGATGCTGCTCCCCAAAACTTTTCCCATGCACTTAGAGAGCCGCCGTCAACCAAATTCTTCACAACGATCGCCGCGGTCACTGCTGTAACGCAAATTTTTGTTTTTATAATATATTTAAAAATGGTTACGTTTAATCTGTTTTCAGTGGAAGCGGTGGCGGTGGTGGATAGCGAGGTGGGTGGTGGAGTGGTGGATGGTAGATCTGGGTTGGTGACAATGGAGTGACGAGATGGTGTTTGTTGCGCGATGGATGTTCAATGATGAACGTTGACACCGTTCGTTCTCATGGAGCTGGGAGCGCCACGATTATCCCACCACCCACCAACCACGGTGGCGAGATTTTAACAACCTCGCCTGGTATGCAGGAGGCCGAGGGATCGATCCCGACCCTCTGAAGCCTGTATATTTGGAGTTTGCATGTCTCTCTTCCCGTGGTCGCGTGGATTTTTTTACTCCGGGTCCTCCGTTTTTTTCCCCTACATATTTTTAGAAGCATGCATTTGGAGTATTTGGCTGCGATGACATTTCCACACGATGATAAGCCACTTCGTTGAGCTATCATTTGTGAAGGCCAGTCGCTTCTGAAAAAGAGAAACATCGCTCAGTGGGCCTTACCTGGTAAAAAAAAAAACATTGTTTACTTTGAGTTCTGACAAAACCAAGGCAGTTTCATTACATGATTAAAGTCAATCGGGTTTGTATGATTAGTTATTATTGTTGTCATGGTAACACGTGCTTAGCCAGGATGGCCTGGCTGAGTCTCGAGCCTGGTTTTCAGGAGGGTCCTGCTCAGTGGTTGTCGGCAGGGAATACTTTGCTCATTCCTGCGGCCTCCAGCCACCGGGGTTTCTCGCTTCGCACGGGAGAGAGACGGGGCTGGTATGGCTTTAGACCGGAGAAGGCACCGCCCCACGAGCATGAGTTCAATTCCATCCCCGGTTGTCCAAACGTTTGTGCAAATCGCGTGTGTTACGCACAAATGAGTCGTAATAACAACACTGCCTTCGGTGACCAAGCCACCCAGAATGCAGCCGGTCTCGCCAGATTTCACAAGCAAAGCAGGCGTTTTAACTTGGTTGGGAAGCCGATGCGTGACCACAAAGACAAAGATCCCCCGTATAGCCTTAACAGACTGTTGGGGCAAGTGCTGTTAGCGAGTAGCGCCTATGAAGACCGGCACGGCACACGAGGGGGTGGGTTGCCAGCACCACGCCCGGCCGCCTTTGTCTCCCCAGTGGCGCTGTTTACACACCGCACCAGGTACTCGTTTGAGGCTGAGTCGCCCTAGGGGAGGTCCAGTACCGGTTCAAATAATCGTCACTGGTGTTGGTCGTGAGCGGGAATCGAACCCGGTTCGCCAGGTTCGCAGCGCAGCGCGCTAACCGCTACACGACCGCTCGCCACTGGGTGGCCAGCACCACCAGCACCTTGCACCAGGGGCTTGAAAGGTGTTGTCGGCACGGGGCTGGAGTCAGGTAGTGGCCAAGAGATGGCGGTGCTGGGGTTTTTCTTCGGGGTCCCTCCGGTTTTTCTCCTCCCACGCGAGGAGCCAAACTCTGGCTGCTCACGGGATTCATGGCGAAACATCCCCAATGTGGCAAGCACCCTCGTGGAAACGAATCCCGGGGCGTGTGAATGGCGTTGTTATCATCACGATTGAATGTTTCCCAGTGCATAATTTCAGCTGGCTCTGTCCGGAGTGGGGTCTGCACCCAGCACACCGCATCCAGTATACTTCTCGCAACGGCCGCGGCTGACAAGCCACGTTGCAGCTTTAATTGACGTGAATATTATTGCCGTAATCATCATCATTATCATCATCCAGATACAACATATTTATTCATATCAGAATTCCAAACGTTTACTTTTTTTTGGTACTTCGTACTTTAACAAACAAAAACAATCTAGGCTTTACCTAGCGTGGCAGCTGTGTGTGTACGTCGTGTACTATAGAAAACATTTGTTTTTTTTAATGTATAACACTTATAAGGAAAAACCAGGAATAAATCAAAACGTCGGTGTGATGGCTACGCTGTGACTTTGTGCACAAGGTCATTTTTGCAAAGTGGCGTGCGTGCGTGTGCGCGTGTACGTGCGAGTGAATTGTCACGTCTTTACTTTTGACCGTACGTTGAAACAAATCGCTATCTCGAGATGTAAAACTGCAAACGAGCAACGAGCGGCCGCAACTTCTTACGTTTAATAATAATAATAATTTAATCGCGTCGTTGATGTTTGGAGAGATTTCTTTGAAAAGTATATTATTATTTGTCTCCTCCTCCTCCTCCCACACGCTCGTCGTGGGCTGCTTCGAGGCTAAATCTCATCTCGTTGATGTGTTCGTGCCGGTGATGATGATGTCGTTGATGGTGATGAGAACGACGGTGTTGGTGATTGCGTGGGCCAAACGGAATCGTTTTAAAAACGTCGATGTTTTGTATGATAATTAAACTCGTTTTAAACAATACGGGATGTGGCTCTTTGCGTGCTTCATGTTGTTATTGTTTTTAAAATCATAATTCCGTCTCGTGGTTCTCGTAGCGTGGCCCGGGATACGCGAGCTTGCGATCATGAATCGCCTCCCATGGATGCCGGGAATCACGTGGCAAAGCAGGATCAGCCATGCAGAGGTTCACAAGAGGCTGTAACACGGCATGCGAGTGTGGTAGACAGGATCAGGCCCTTCCATGCGGGGGGGTACAGGGGCCCAGGGCAGTCGCCCCACATCGCCGTACTCCTAGGGACGTCTCTGGATAGGATTGTGAAAATAAACGGCTGTGTTGGGTGTTTGCAGGATGGGTGTGGGGAGGGGGTGTAGGATAAGCAACTTGTAATTGGAAAGAGAACACGGCATATCGGTGTTCTAGATAGGAATAGACAATGAAACGGCTGCTCTAAACTAAACAATGTTTATGTTACCAAGTAAGGCCCACTGAGCTATCGGGCTTTTTCGCAGAAGCGACCTAGCGACACGTGATAGCTCAACGACGTGGCTTATATCATCACGTGGACATTTACAGCAGGCAAATACTCCAAAAGCGGAATGTTGCTTCTAAATGTGGAGGGAGAAAACCCGAGGACCCGCGGAAAAATCCACGCCACTACAGGATGAGAGAAAGAGACACCGCAAACTCCAAATACACAACAGGCGTCAGGGTCGGGATCGAACCCACGACCTCCTGCATACCAAGCGAGGTAGTTAACATCCCCTAGAGACCGCTCCTGGGTATGGCATTACTGATTGAGGCCCAGAACACGCTCGGCCTACGTCACTCGCCACTGATGTGAGCCGTGACTGGTCACCCAATTCAGGCCGTCGGGCTCAGGGCGCATTTCGCGAACCACTTCGCCACCGCTCCCCCATCACAATCCCCTCCCCCCTTGTTTTAGTTACATAATACAGTACGCACATGTGCTGCGTACTAACAACAAACAACACGGAGTGGGGGGCGCTCCTGACCAGTGCAGTGCGAATTCAAGTCCGAGTTTAGAAACAGGGCAAGTGGCACACTCGGCTCGGCGTGCCACTCTCGGCTCGGCGTGCCACTCTCGGCTCGCCGTGCCACTCTCGGCTCGCCGTGCCACTCTCGGCTCGCCGTGCCACTCTCGGCTCGCCGTGCCACTCTCGGCTCGGCGTGCCACTCTCGGCTCGCCGTGCCACTCTCGGCTCGGCGTGCCACTCTCGGCTCGCCGTGCCACTCTCGGCTCGCCGTGCCACTCTCGGCTCGCCGTGCCACTCTCGGCTCGCCGTGCCACACTCGGTGCAGTTCAGAAATAAAACGCACTCGGCGCAGTGCAGTGTCGGAGGGCGGACCGTCATCAGCATCATGAGCAGCAGCAGTTCCTGCTACACCCACAACCGGTACTGCCGGTTCGCTTTCGTTTCACGTCCCCCACTCACACGGGCATCAGCTGATCTGGCTTAACCCAACCACACCCCCACACCCACCACGACCACCACGTTCACCATTCCCCCCCACCAACACACACACCACTCTCTTCTCCGTCACTCATCATCACCCACGATCATCCACCACCACCCCCACCCCAGGCACCCGACTCCACGCCCTTCTTATTCCATCTCCGCACTCACTCCTCTTTTCGCCTGCCACCACCACCACCACGATCGGGTGAAAACTTCTTGTCCGCTGCCCCCGATAGCCAGCCGGTCGTCTTCTCATCATTCTACTTCTTCTTATCGTTGCTGGAGGGCGGCTCTGAGTTTTGAACACCAGCCAACAACAAGACGCAACAATAACTTGAAGGCGGTGGACCGTGTGAGATTCCCGGCCGTGTGTGTGTTTGTGTGTAGGGCCCACCACCACAACCACCGAAATAGCATCTCTAGCAACATCGTCGACGCAAGCTCACGGCGGTCGATTTGGTTTGTGCGGTGGGAGCTGGACGAGACGAGCACCGCGTATACGTAACGTCGACTCCAAACCAAACCAAACAAAAAAAAGCCAAAACAGATCGCGACATCAAACAGAGCACGCGCCCGCGGGGACAGGAAACGCAAACATAAAAAGAGAAGCATGCGCTGTGCGAGTCGGTAGGACATGGCTACAGACAAGAAGGAGTATCTGTTCAAGGTGCTGGTGATCGGAGAGCTTGGCGTTGGGAAAACGAGCATTATCAAGCGATACGTGCACCAGCTGTTCTCGCACAACTACCGCGCCACCATCGGCGTCGACTTCGCCCTCAAAGTCCTCACCTGGGACGCCGACACCCTGGTTCGACTCCAGCTATGGGACATTGCCGGTAAGTTTTTTGATTTGGGTGGGTGGTGGAGAAAGGGGGTGGGGAGGGAGGAGGGAGGAGGAGGAGGGAGATACATTCGGTGGTCCGGGGGGGGGGTATCGATGTGGGTTGTCAGCTGTGACTTGGTTGGGTGTGCCTGCGTGAAGTATGGTCAAACAACCCCCATATAATCCCACACCTCGATTTGGGAATCTGTGTGTGGGGGGGGGGTTGTATGAGGAGGCTGAATTGGGTTTGTTGCGCCGAGCTGTGAGTCGGCGTGGTGAAGTATGGTCCAACAGCCGCCACGTGATCCACCACGTGGTTTTGGGGTGGGAGAAATGCAGCAGCGAGCGGATTGATAAAGGGGCTTTTGCTGTACGTTGTTGTTATTATTATTACGACTGCTACGAGAGAACCCTTCTCGCCGCGGCTAGCAAATCTCGACGTTGAGCGATCCCATCGCGCGGAGTAAATCTCGAATCGTCGGTCGCGATTACAGTTCGGTGGTGGTGGTGGGGGGGACGACGCCGTGGATGAGATGCGCGAAGCCGTGCAATCAGACTGTGACCTATTTCGCACGGTAGGGGCTTGATTGTGTACAGGCTGCTTCAAAACAAATGTTAACACTTATATGGGGCAAAAGTTTTTAATGGAAAAAGAACGGGTAATACTGTAACACGATAAATATAATGTTAATGGCTTCAAAAAGTCAAAGAGCCTTGACTTGTTCGCCAGCGTTGTTAACACGTGGCCTGGGATCTTCTCCAGCTGGTCCCCCAGAGCCCGGAGGCAGCAGCACATTTCGTGTGGTGTTGTTGCTTTTGAGAGAAACACAAATAAACATTCTCGGAAGCGTTAACATGTTTTTGAAGCACCCTGTACAATTGCCGAGTGTTGTGGTCCGAGACCTATGAACCGTGGAGTGGCAGAACAAAGGGCGAGCGAGACGGGGACCGGGAGCGATGCCCCCCGAAACATCGAGGAGGATGGAGCGATGGTGACTTTGGATTTGGGGCGGAGGGCCCCCCATTCAGCAGTGGCATTGCCCGCCGGGTGATGTCCTCGCGGCATCATTACTGCGGGTCCGACCTCATGCTGCTGATTTGGCAGCGGCTGTGCTCTGTCCAATGCTGGACTGAAGGCCTCTTTTCCCCGTCATCGGCAGGGCCACGATATCTGAATTAAAATGTCCCCCAGGTACTTTTTTTAGAATTGACATCGCTGACTCACGGGGGGGGGGGGGGGGCACGCCTCATCTGATGCCAAGCAGCGGTGAGCGGTGCACAGAGCCAGACTATGGGGCAACTTTAGCATTCTTAAGCGTTGAGTATTCATGACCGTGTGTGATTTAATAGTAACACTAACTACAGCAATGTAAATGTATAGGCATCAATCCACCGCTGGATGAAGGCCCCCTCGGTCATGGGAGTTTATTGACCATACTTCACCACACTGGTCGGTGCCGGTTTGATGGATGTGGGTGGGTGGGAAGCCAAACATCGGTTCCGAGTATCACTCGCCACCCATGCTGGCCGTGGCCAGGAATCAAACTCGGGTATTTTGGTTGGCAGTGGCCTGTGCTAACCGCAACGCCACCACTCCACTCCCAACAATATTTAATAGTCGTGCCCTGTATCGGTCAAGGAACGCCTCCATTGAGTCTCAGGACCGCTTATATCAGGAGGCTCCTGTAATTGAATGTTTATGTATGTAATATCACGGTTTGCTGAGCACAGGGGCCCAAAAAGCACAAAACCCCAAGCGGCCAGCAACAAACGGCACTGGCGTCAACGTTGCAATCGAGTGTAACGGGGTTCTTGGATGGAGCGAGGCTATTTGTGTTGCAAGGCCTCGGTGATGATGGGAGGAGGGAGTTCCACAGTGGAGCAGTGCGAGGGAAGAAGCAGAGAGAGAGGAAGTGAGATGATAACCTGCAGGGTGGTACTGTGGTGTTGTGGTGGTACTGTGGTGTTTTGGTAGTACTGTGGCAGTGTTGTGGTGGTAGGGTGGCGTTACGGTGGTGGTGGTGGTACTGTGGGTGGGGTTACTATGTTGATTTGACAAATTCCATTGCAGTTACATGTTCCCCGCAGGATAATTGGGCCACATGTACACACAGCTGCAGTGTCTGCCTTCGACATCGTAGACCGGGCTACCGCGCCGGGTTGGTGATGCCCCTCCTCCGGTGATTCAGTGTTGTTAACAATACTTCGTTCCACCCACGAAGATCAAATCGAGCCCGTTTACAGCGAACCAGCGCTACTTATTCCGCTTCGTGTCGGTGAATCCGTTCACGTGGATCGTATGGATCGTAATAATCGAGGTGGCGGTGACTTGGGTGGGTGGGGGAAGGCGGTCCTTCATCCAGCAGTGGATTGACCATGGCTGATGGACCCTATTAATATCGGTATTTATTTACTTAGCGCACTTGTCGTAAAATGATGCGCCTCGGAGCACTTGACATGACGCGTAGCATTTGCACGAATGCCCTTCATTTAGTGAACACGCATTTTAGAGTCGTGTTAGGAAGCAATCCACCGCAGGCGATATATAATTAAAGCGTTACAATGTGCGCGTGCGTGTTCTCGTGGGGAGCGAGCACGTGCGATGGGCCGGAACGGAACACGAGGGTGTGGGTGGCCCGCACGCACGCACGCCTTTGTCTCCCCCAGTGCCGGTCTTTACACGCCAGACCAGTTTGCACATTGGAGGCTGAGGAGTCGACTTAGGCGAGGCCCAGGAATCGGTTCGGATAATCGCAAATGCGGCCTGCCCTGGCGGTGCCCATACCTCGTGATAACAGCACTTGCCCGAAAAGTCTGGTACGCCTATACGGTGGTGGTGGGGTGGGGGGGGGGGCTCTTTGTTGTGTGTCATGGGGAGCGGAGGCGCAGTGGTTAGCGCGATTGCGCAACGAACCCGCCTACCCAAGTTAAATTCGCGCTCACGGCCAACATCGGTGATGGATCGCTCAACCGGTTTTGGGCCTCCACTAGGTCAGTTCAACCTTAAATGAGTACCGTGTGTAAAACAAACCAAAATATATACTCTTTTGGTTCTTTCGGTAAAGTCACGAGTGTGGATTCCTGCAGTCACGAAAGCTTCAAATCAAGATTGAAACCAAAATATCCCATCAGAACTTGGGAGACAAAGGTGGCCGGACATGATTCTGACCACACCACACTGCCCCCCCCCCCCCACCCTACCATGGGTCGTTCTGGCCTTCGTAGGTGCTCACCAACAGCACTTGCCCCAAGCAGCCTGTGTAGGCTACGCGGGAGATCTTTATCTGTGTGTGTGTCCCAGTAGTTGTGGTTGTTGTAAGTGTCTCTCTCGCTACGAGCACGGCGCCGAGCCAGTGTGACCACGGGTGGTTTCTGACAGCCGGGGTGGCAATTGTAACATAACCACCCCACACAGCTTAAAGGACGCGACCTGGGCTTGGCTGTTTTCACTCCAACGCTGTCCTCATGACAGCACGGGCCCTTCACCTGATGAAGGCCACTTGTGTTGTGGCCGAAACGTCGTGAATTTTTATTTTTTTTATTTTTGTTGTTTTTTACGTGACTTTACCGAATAGAACCAAAGAGTATGGATCCTTGCAGTCACGAAAGCTTTAAATCTAGAAATAACCACCACCAACCACCTCCTTCCAACTTGTCGTCATGAGCCATGACCTTGACCTATCCACTGCTGGATGAAGGCGTCTGCACCGCCCCCATCCTCGAATCGTCGCCACCCTCCCTGTGGTCACGCGATCCGTTCCCCCCCGGCCCGCACGCACGCGAGTCGATTTTGTCGCTCCATCTCCAGGGTGGAGCGCGTCGCTCCATCCTTTTGCTGCCATTCCGTCGGTAATCTCGACCACCGTCCGTCTCTGTGCGCCACGGTGGCGAGATATTTGGAGTTTGCGTGTCTCTCATCATCATCATCATGATGGCTATGAGATGTTAACTACCTCGCCTGGTATACAGGAGGTCCTGGGTTCGATCCCGACCCTGATGCCTGTTGTATATTTGGAGTTTGCGTCTCTCCCTCTCCCCGTGGTTGTGAGGATTTTTCTCCGTGTCCTCCAGTTTTTCCTCCGCATTTAGAAACAACGTCACGCGTTCAGAGTATGTATTTGGCGACTGCTGGAAATGTCCATAATGATGAGCCGCGTCTTGGAGCTATCACGTGTGATGGCCAGGTCGTTTCTGAAAAAGAAGCGAATCGCTCAGCGGGCCTTAACTGGCAAAATAAATGTATTATTTTTAGTTTAACACGTAGGCGTTCGCAACCAATATCATCCACAATATAGGATTGTATTTGGGTTGGCGTAAATGCGCTCTAACCCGCATTTAAACCTTTTATTATGGATGTGTTTTTTTTTAGTTGAAGTCCCTTCCATCCGTGACGCAGTGCCGCTGTGGTATCGCCACTTCGTAGGGTCGTGGGAGATTGCTACGGCTTGGTTGTGTGAGAGGCGTTCATCTAGCAGTGGACTTACCAAGGCTGACGATGATGGCGATCGTCAAGTTAAGCTCGCAGTAGATCCCAAGTTCTGCGAGGGCGGCAGGATAAGCGCAGGAGATCGCTTTAAGCCCGGGGGTCGGCCACCTTCGCCTCCTGAGCCGCATGTGTTGGCTCTCTTGGGACTTAGTGACGTTATTTATTAAGGACCAACCTCTACCACCACCACCACCACCACCTCCTATTCACCACACAGAGCATTGTGGCTCTTAAAATATTGAGTTTTTTTTTTACAGAATTCGAGAAACAAGTGTTTGAATTTTGATTTAAAGCTTTCGTGACTGCAGGGATTCATATTCTTGGTTCTTTCGGTAAAGTTAAGTAGAAGGGAAACAATTAAATAATAAAAATATATAAAACAATACAATTATTATTTTATTGTTTCCCTTCTACGTGACTTTACCGAAAGAACCAAGAATATAAATATTTGTTACTTATTGTTATTTTGTTTTTGCCGGACCATCCTGCTTTGAGCGGATTGCAAGGTGGATTGTGATACATCTGGG